TTGGAGACCCAGCTTCCTGCCTGAGCAGCCACTGAAGCCACGGAGCCCTCCTCTCCAATACGCCTGAGATCTCCATCTCTCTCTCTGTGTGTGTGTGTGTGTGTGTGTGTGTCTTTATTTCACTATTAGTAGTTTTTTCCTCTTTCAGATACACAATTTCACACAATCTCTCTCCCATTTATCACATCTTTACTGTCTGCACATAGACCTCTCTTTCCACCTCCCAAGTCTTTCACACATTCCTTTTTCTCTCTCTTTCCCTCTCCCTCCCCCTCCCACCCTCCCTCTCTCCCCCTCCCCCCACCCCTCCTCTTTCCTGGTGCTTAACTGGAAACAAGAGTGAGTTTGTTGTGGAAGGAAGAGGACTCTGAAGGCAGCCACCAGGGTGGCCGAAGCAGAAACAGGCTGGGGCCAGAGGCAGTGCTGACAGCCAGAGACCCCAGCGCTCAGCCGTTCCAGGGAGCAGGTAATGCCCTCGACAGAGCCTGCCAGGCACCACAGGCACGGAGGCCCACAGAGTCGGTGCATGCCTGTGCCTGCCTCTTCTCCGAACCGCGTGTGGTCTGGTGTGGCTGGAGTTGGGCACTGGGTAGGGACACTAAGGACCAAGCAAGGCAGGTTGAGCCCGACCACAAGGGATGTTGTGAGACCTGGCCTCTGACCCCAGGGTTTAGAAACAGACAGCATTGAAGGATTTTCACCTGGAGAGCAGCCTGACTAAATCTACATTCTAAGGAGTAATTCTTGAAATCTGATCCCAGGGAAAACTGGTGTGGCCCTCCAGAATCAAGCAGTCATATTTTTCTCCCAGTATGAAGGAGAAGGTTATGTTCCCACTTATTGAATTTTCTTCTATGAAATTTTCTTAAACCTTTGGTGTCTGCTAGCAAGTGTCAGCATTCAAGAAGCCAATGGAAAGAATATAAAATAAAAGGAATAAAAAAGTGCAGAAATAGGAGGGTACTTCCAGAGGTCATGGAAAATGAATTAAAAGATAAACTTATTTTGATGTGAAATTATTTTGAAATTCTTGCAGTCTTTCTTGTAACACGTATTCTCCATGAATTTTTTGAAGACTCTTGGTAAAATTCATTGATCTACATAGAGATAAATTAAGAATGTCTTCTGCTAATAAAATTATTTCAAACTCACGTGCACAATATTTTATCTTACTGCTCAGTGCACCGTGACTCCCAGGAGTCCACCACCTGAATGTGTTTGAAATGGTTTAAAAGAGCTCTGTTGCTATGCAGGGGGTGGGGAAGGAGGGAGCATTTGGGGGCAGCGGGGCCGTGGCTGCTAGTGCAGTGACAGGAGCAGGAGGTGATGAGAGCCCGAACCAGTATTGTGGCAATGGGCTGGGGAAAAGAAATGGCAAAAAATGCATCAGATTGAAAATGGAAGAAGTTAGTGTCCAATTGGATGTGCATAGTGAGAGAGAAGTCTTCAGGAGCAAATCCAGTGTTTCTTGTCTGGATGGCTGGGTAATTAAGGGGGCTATTAAGCAAAATAGAGGACAGCAGCATTGGGATGTTGGAAGATGGGACACAGAGCTGCGTTGACGCCAGCTCCCAGAACTCTCAGGTGGCAGTTAGAATGCTTAACACAGGGCCTGGAGACACGGGTGAGCTAGTTTATAAATGACAACATAAAGAACACAAGCCATCCTGGAAGAGAGATCAAGGAAGAATGCTAGGGATGACTGAAATTTAAGTGTTAGCTAGGCAAGAGGAGCTGGGGAAAGATATTGAGAAAGAATCTTCAAAGACTGAGGAAAAATAGCAAGTACCAGGTTGCACAAGAGTAACTTCAATTCAGAGGGAGCCGCCAGCACCACTGACATCCCAGAGGGCTAAGTCAGACCTAGCTTCACAGTGCCATTAGTTTGATTCATTTATTTAATATATTGGCTTCACAATAGGATAGCAGGAGGGATCTGAGGGCAGGAGTTGCAAACTTGGGTATGTACTGTAAATGAATTAGCAAAGTAGAAGTAGAGAGTGGTGGAGGCAGTGGCAAATGAGAAACTACCCACCAGCAAGACAGCCATAACCCTGTTCCAGTTGATGGTTTAGAAGTACAAACACAGGCATAGTCATCAGAGCCTCTGAATTTTCCAGGAAAGTTAGAGATGTGGATTTTTATATGAAACCTCACAAGTATCTATATTAGCACTTATTTCAGGAAACTTTTGCACTCTCTGAAGGCTGAACCTAACACCTCTCTGAGCCGCCAGTCTGAAATCTGTGCCTTAGTTAGCAGCAGGTTGGGAAGTGTCTGGGCAGGGAGGGAGTGGAGACAGTGAGTGTGGACCACTTCTCTAGGAAGTCAAGGGTAAATGAAGGCAGAAGAGCTTGGAAGAGAGGAAGGGTCTGGGGAGGAGGTTTGAGGGTCAGAGGAACTGTTTATAGGAGAAGAGAAAGATGGTGGAGAGGGCAAAGCTGAGGATTTGAGTAAGGAAAGGCTGGCTGATGAGATAAAGATCTGGAGGAGACACCAGGGGTGGATGGAAGCAGGGGTTGGGCTGCAGGAAGGACTCCTTTGTTCTGAGATGGATGGCATCAGGGATGAAAGCACAGAAGGATCAGAAAAGAGGAATTCAGTGGATTTCATGCCTGGGGGCCTTTGTTTTGTTTTGAGGAAGTGGAGTGGGAGATGGATCCAGAAGCTTGAAGAGAGGAGCAATGGCTAGGAATGGCATCAAGGGACCCCGGGGCAGGGGACTGAGAGGATAAGGGGAAGTTGCTGCCATTGAGACCTGCTGTGGTTGGGTGATTTTCTACGGTGGGACTGGGTGCTGGGGTTGGTGGTGAGGGCAGTTAAGCATCCGTTAACATTCCAAACCCTGTGTCAAGTGTTTTATTCTCCTTACCTGCTTTCTTCCACCCAATAATTCTGTTCACCCAAACTGAGTTCACTCACAAATAAGTGGCAGCTCTGAGATTCACACCACGTCTGGCTGGATTGGAAGTCCATTGTGCACCCTGATTCCACCATACCAGCTCATAACAGCACTGCCTTCCCTGGTACCTCTCGGACCACCTGCAGAGATGAAGCCTAGACTGAGGAGTTCTGGTTTAGTTGTTGACTTCCTGGTTTTATTGGAAAGAAACTGGAAGGGGTGGTGAAAGAGGAGTTGTGATTGTATACCATTGGAGGTCCAGGGAGCAATGGGTGTGGACAGAAGGAATGATAAACTGAGGAAATACAGGGGCTGGGAGGCAGTTGATGACGGGTTGAACCAGGCAGGGCAATGGCATTAGTGAAAACTCTAATATGGGGTTGGAGGTGAGGAAAAGAGAGGTGAAGTGATGATGACTCCAGGGTGTCCAGCCTGTGCCATGGGGCAGACAGGGATGTCTTTAGCCAAGGCACTGGTCACCTCTGGTCCTTGCTCACTGCTGACCAGCACATTCCCACCTCAGGCTGAGTCCTCTTCTCCCAGATGTGCGTAAGTGGTGGCTGTCATCACTCATCTCAGTTCAGATGTCCCCTCTGAGCGGCATTTGGTGATCATACTATCTCTTGTGGCTCCTGTGTTTGCTTTGCTTGGTTCAGAACACTTCTCCTTGCCTGAAATGGTCATGTGTAGATGTGTTTACTTGTCGGTTGTCTGGCTCTGAGTATGCTCAGGAGAGCAAGGACACAAATAAAGCTCCATCACAGCTTTATTTTCCAACACCAAAAACCATGCTCATCGCATAGTAGTTGTTCATTAAATGTTGAGTGAGAAAAGAGTAACGAATGTTTGAACATTGGAGAAATGTGTTTGGGAAAGTGTGCAATGCCCAATATTGGAATGCTGAGTTTGGAGGTACCTGCAAGATATTCACGAGGTGATATCCAGTGGATAACTGGAAAGCAGCCTGGAAGCCCATGAATAAGAGGGACACACATGCATACTGTCCGTTTGCTTGGCCAGCTTCCTCTTTGACTTGACTGGTTTGGGGCCCAGTGGGGAGAAAAAAGATTACTGCAGGTTTATTGTGCTGAACTCAGGTTGGAGTGTTTCTCCTCTCACTTTTCTGTTCCTGATTCATTCATTCCGCCCCCCCTCCTTTAAGATCTATTTTATTTATTTGAAATAAGAGAAAGAGGGAGACACACAGAGAGCTTCCATCTGCTGGTTTGCTCTCCCCAAATGGCTGGGCCAGGCCGAAGCCAGCAGTCTAGAACTCCATCCGAGTCTCCTACCTGGGTGGTAGGAGCCCAAGCCTTCAGGCCATCTTCTGCTTTTCTGGGCCTGTTAGCAGGGAGCTAGATCAGAAGTGGAGCAACCAGGACTTGAACCGGCACTCATATGAGATTCCTGCATCACAAGCAGTGGTTTAAACCTGCTGTGCCACAACCCCAGCCCCCTGTTCCTTGCTCTTGCTGCTGTCCTGGCTTTGGCCATATTCCACCCATCTTCACTGATAGTTGTAAGACCTGAGTCTGAATTCAGACCAAATCCTCTCATCTCTTTCATCTTTTTTTTTAAAGATTTCATTTATTTATTTGAAAGGTAGAGTTACAGACAGTGAGAGGGAGAGGCAGAGAGAAAGGTCTTCCTTACGGCTGGTGCTGCGCCGATCTGAAGCCAGGAGCCAGGTGCTTCTTCCTGGTCTCCCACGCGGGTGCAGGGGCCCAAACACTTGGGCCATCTTCTACTGCTTTCCCAGGCCACAGCAGAGAGCTGAATTGGAAGAGGAGCCGCTGGGTCTCAAACCGGCGTCCATACGGGATGCCAGCACCTCAGGTGGAAGATTAACCTACTGTGCCACGGCACTGGAATCCTACTGTGCCACAGTGCTGGCCCCTCATCTCTTTAGTCTTAAAGGAGATCTTGCCCACATCCAACCCACAGTGGTGTGTGTGTAACCACCCAGATGCCTGATGTAGTTTCACTGGACTAGGAAATATTTTCCCTTGCACTTGACTCCTGCTCCATTGCTGTTGGCCTGGTGGCCCTCCCGCCTTCCACAGTGCACTCAACAGACTGTGCTGCCCTTGTTTTGCAGGGTCTCCAGCTGCTGAGCAGCTCCAGGACATCCTGGGGGAGGAAGATGAGGCTCCCAACCCCACCCTCTTCACAGAGATGGACACTCTCCAGCATGACGGAGACCAGATGGAGTGGAAGGAGTCAGCCAGGTGAGGCGGAACCCCAGGAGGGAGGTGCAGTCTCTCTGGGGTGAGGGCTGAGCTGGCCCTCCTGCTGGGAAGGGCACCTCATGCCTTGAGTTTTGCCAGGGAGCTTCCTAGTTCACAGAAACCCTCCCACTTGCCATCCTTGGCATCCAGTACTATATTGAACACTTAGGGACAGACAGAAGCATATGACTTCGTCTTTATTCTCAAAGAAATTAAAATCCAAGTGGGAAGGCAGAACAGTCTACCTTGAGACCCTCAGAGAATAATATAAGGATATATTCTTTAGTGTCACAAGGTTCTAACCATAAGTACCAGCAGCCTGGGAGTAGACAGGGAGGGCTTCCTGCAGGAGGGAGAATGTGTGCCAGGCACACTGAGTCTGAGAAAGTGATGGGGAGGTCTAATGGGCTACTGAATACAAAGATTTGGCGAGTTTAGGGCTCGGCAGGCAGAGTGGAGCTACAGACTCAGTCATCAAGGAAAGGGGTAGGGGAGGGCAGAAAGCTATGTAAGTAGGGATGGTAGAAGGATCAGGAGGGCTGGGAGGCTGGAGCAGAACCTGGAGTCAGGGTAAGGAGTGGTTGGTGCTGCCCACGTCCCCAGGGCCTGTGACAGAGTGGCCTCTGAACTGAACTGGGCTGGGCAGAATTGCCAAATTCTTCTGAGAGCCCAAGGAGGAGGACAGGTGGTGTATGGGTCCTGGAAGGACCCTCAGTCTGGAAGACAGCACCCTTTTTTGCATTGTGCCCCACCCTACCCCCTACATAAAAATTATTTTGATTTAAATTAACTTATCAAATTAAGACTTAATATCTTTCTAATCAGAGAAATTAAATGCTAAGGAATAAGATTTGTCAGATAGGTTGAGGCACTTTGGAGTGCCTCAAGCCGTTGTGGTGGCTAAAATGTTTCACTCCCCTAAGGATCCGTTTTGGCCCCCTTGAGGGCAGCTAGTGCCTTGGTTGAAAATGCATGGACTAACTCCTGGCTGCACCCAGCACTGGTGATGTCCAGGGCCACTCTGACACCAGAGCCTGGCAGCTGACCTGTTGCCTGGACTCTTCCCTCACCCACCTCCCTCAGGGTTCTACCCATCTGCTGTGCGGAGCCAGACGAGCTTGCACTTGACTCCTGGTACCTCTCCAGGATTCTATATCCATTCCTCTGCAGGGCTCTCTGGAGAAAGGCCACTGGGTAGACCAGCAAAACCCTGCAGGCCGCAGCTGGGCCCTGTGCCTGTGTGGAAGCTGAGGAGCCTCTTCCCATCAGCCTTCTGGTTGACCCTTACCATGTTAACTAATTCACAGTTTCATCTTGTTCAAACTGCACAGTGTCCCAGAGAAGGCAGGGACTATTGTGCCCATTTTACAGATAGGATACTGAGGTATAGATACCTATGGCCAAAGCATGCAGGCAACTGAGTCTGGGTTCCAGCCCAGGCCTGTCTGCTCTCCCTGCCTGAGGCTTATGTACTTTGTCATGCTTTCCCCCACTTTTCTCAGCCACTTCCCCCTTCTCCTCCAACTTCCAGGGACTCTGCTTTTACTTCTGGGGGGGACATAGCTCTGGAGGTGATTAAGTTGGTTTTAGAGAGCAATAAGGACAGCTGTAGAGCCCAGGACATGTATCTAGGGGTGACAAGATGGAGCAGGATATTTCTTTTTTTTTAAAGATTTATTTATTCATTTAAAAGTCAGAGTTACACAGAGAGAGGAAAGACAGAGACAGAGAGAGAGAGGTCTTCCATCCACTGGTTCACTCCCCAAATGGCCACAACGGCCAGAGCTGCGCCGATCCAAAACCAGGAGCCAGGAGCCAGGAGCCAGGAGCTTCTTCTGAGTCTCCCACGTGGGTCCAGGGGCCCAAGGACTTGGGCCATCTTCTACTGCTTTCCCAGGCCACAGCAGAGAGCTGGATTGGAAGTAGAGCAGCCAGGTCTCGAACCGGCACCCATATGGGATGCTGGTGCTTCAGGCCAGGGTGTTAACCTGCTGTGCCACGGCGCTGGCCCCAATGGAGCAGGACATTTCAAATGACCAGGGCCAGCCTGGGCTTCCATGGCTTAATGTCCCTGAGAGGCTAGGGTCTGAAGCCACTACCTGCCCTGGGGGTGAATAGAGAAGAGGACCACTGGAAAGGGGCTTCTCAGAGGCTCAAGAGGAAAAGAGTGTCTTCTCCTCACCCTGGGCAGGATCTGCACCAGAACCCCTGGAAATAATTGCGAAGACCAGACCCAAGATGAGAGCCTATCACACACAAATGGAACCCTTGCAGAGCGAGGCCCTGGAACCCTCAGTCACCAGAGACAAAACATACCTGTTTCTGTTCTCTGGCTGTGTATCCACAGGGCCCTCTGCACTATGACGCAGAGAGGACACTGATGACATGTGGATGAGAGGGTTTCCGGAGGGAGGCACCTCCTTAAATATGAAAGGGGTCCGGGCCATTGCTACGCATGAGGTAATAGGTTTCTCTACAAGACAGGCTTTCTGAGATCAGCATGTGGAGTCCTGGGAGGGCCATGGGGTAGTCTGCTCAAACTAATCCCGAAAGTGGTAGCCAAAAGTTACAATGGCTGAACCCAATCCCAGGCAGCCCAGAGAAGAACAGCTGTAGGCCAACCTGGGGGCAGGAAACAGGAGAGGAGAGGAGATTGAGGGTCTTTCGCTTTACATTCCTGCATTCCTGTAGCCTCTTTTGCAGCCAGCCCCATCTGGTTTCCAGCCAGCTGCTCACAGTGTGACCAGCAGGCCTGCCGTGAAGTTGGAAGAAGGGAGTGGCCAGGTCTGCCTTGGCTGAGACAGTTTTGTTGGGCCCTCCTGCAGCAAACACTGGGTCCACCCGTTTGGGGGTGTCACTCCCACACAAGAAAGGGAAGCCTTTCCCTTGGCCCGGGCTGTGGCATCCACTCAGGGCAGCCATAGGTCTCAGAAGTTTCCAGAACCTAAAAATTAGCAAACCCTGGTGGGTTCTGAGTTTCCCTGAAGTAACAGGAGAGAATGACAGGGAATGGGGGACAGCCCCCTCGCAGACACTCAGCCATGGGAAGGCTGTGGGTCCAGCAAGACCCATATCAAAGAGAATGGGGGAGAGGACCCTTTAATGAAAGTATTTAATTTGCTGCAGGGAGTGTTTGCTTTATTGAGTTAGGAGATTAACAGAGTGAAAATCTCAAATCCGAAAGGAATTTTCCCCGGCGGTGCTTTGTCGGGGGTTATTAGTTTGGGGGATGTTTCAGGCCCTTGGAGGAGTCACTCCTGGGCGGATTTAAATGGCTTTTTGAGCTCTGCTGAGCCTTGCCCCGTGCACATAATGGGGACTGTGTGTGTGGCATCGTTTCTAATGTGATCAATGCTGGGAGGGCAGGCTGTTAGCAAGATAGATTTTTATTAACTCTGTCTCTGTAGAGCTCCCATGAGGGAAATGCAGCTGACTGTGTCCTGTTAATGACCTTGCCAGAAGGGAGGGCTGGGTCAGGAGGAGTGGAGGAGACCCCTCGCTGGGAGCAATCCATCCAGAAAAGTCTGTGCTCTCTCAAGCCCACTACCCCCTGACTACAAAGGGAGGGGTGGGAAAGAGAATGACACAGTTTGGAACCCATCCAAATGTGGAGGGCCCTTTAGGGTTACTCAAAAATAACTAGAGCTTAGTGCCTTCCAAGAGCTCTGAAAGCAAATTCCAAATTCAAGCCACCTCTGGTCAGCTCAGAGCAGACCGAAAGACAGCACGCAGTGGCCAGAAGCTGCTTAGGAGATGCGCATGCTCTGAGAACATTCCTGCAGTGACCAGGACAGGACAGAAAGAGGGCATGAGAAGTGGGTCAGCTTATTTGGCTCAGACCAGATCAATGCGTTTTCTCCACAAGTAGGCAGCGATGCTTTCTCACCCCAGGAAGGAGAGAGGAGAAAGCATTAATTTTTTGGCTCAGCCCTAAAAAGGCTCCCGTTTAGATCCTGTGCACACCCTCTTGGCATGGGGCAGAATGAACCCCTGGCCTTCTGGTTTCGCCACCCATCAGGAATCAAGCTTATGGGGCCAGAGCTGCTCATTCTCTATATAAAGCAGAGTAGGAAACTGACAGCTCCCAGTGAAGAAGTCAACAAGCTTCATTCATTAATTCAACTAATATTTACCAAATGCTTCCTGTCTGTAAGCTGTGAGCCCTAGGTGGAAAAAGAATGAAGCACAGCGAATGCTGTCCCTGCTCACTTGTGCTCCCAGTCCAAAAGGGCACAGAGGTGACGGAGGGGCTATGAGAGCACAGAGCAGAGGCACCTCCCCCAGGCAGGAGGTGTCCAGAAAGGCTTGCTGGGGGAAGGAGTGTTGAAGTTGAGACCTGAAGGATGGGTCAGAGGTAGCCAGGAGAAGGGAGAGAAGGAGGGAGAGAGGCAGAGGAGGGAGGGAGGAAGGGAGAGAGGGAGGGGGGAGACCCTTGGAAGAGGCCAGACACAAAGAGGAATCGCAGACGTTCCCTGAGGCCAAGCTACGGAGTGAGAGTCAGGGAGTAGCAGGACCCACCCTACAGGTCTTGGATATGATGCGGAGAGCTTCAGAGGACCACTGAAGTGTTTGAGGTGGGAAAGGGACAGGATAATGTGTTTGAGAGAGGTGGTCTGGTTTTAGTGTGTAGGGTGGATAAAAGGAGATAAGACTTGGCTGGTTAGGAGGCTGGTCCAGGGAGATGAAAGCCAAGATTCAGATATTGGCTCTGGGGAGAGAAGGAAGGGTGGGGTGGGTTTGAGACATAATTTAGCAGGTGCTATTGACAGGGCTTGATGACAAATGGCATGTCCGGGAGAAGGATAGTTGAGGGAATACTCAGCTTTCCAGCCTGAGAAGTGGGTACCGCCTGGTAGCAGTTTGGGAAACAGAAAGGGTAGTAAGGTCTTGTTGTATGGGGCATATTTTGTTGTGTCTTGAGGGCAGTTGATGAAGAGTTCCGTTTGGACAGGTTCTATTTGAGGAAAACCCAGGTGGGGATATGCAGTGGCCAGGGGTTC